ATTTTAGTTTGTTTGTCATGTACGCTTCATTTCTTATTTTTTGCTCTGTGATTTAGACACCTACACAAAGACTAAATGTGTTTATGTGCATAAAATGTTCTACTATAAATGATATTTACTCACAGCATGTCTGGAGGGCACACATTACATTTACTGTTCATGATTTTCCACATTTCAGATCTCCAAATGACACGAGTGATATAATTTAAAGCTCGACCAGAGGGGAATTAAAGCTTGAAATGTTCCTTTTCTGGAACCCCTGGTGCTCCAAGATGGCTGCTGTTTGTGGACCTGAACACGTCGACTTTGAGCCCACCGGGTCACCTGCTGCAGGCTCCTCACCCGATGATGGGAGTTTCATACGTTGCTTCACTCTGGTTTGCAGCTCATGTCACGGTGAAATAAATGTAATTGTGCTGATTTTCTGGAATAAAAAGAAACATCTCCCACCCATGTAGATCCCTGGAGTCGTGGGTTTTCCACAGTGAAATTCCCAATTAGCCAAGCTAGATGAAGCAGGCCTGAGAGTGCGTGCTGTTACATGATAAACACATGCGAGGCACACTAATTAAAATTAAACTTTAGTGTGAAAATAAGGGAAAATATTTGTTTGTTTGTTTTAACACAGGTTACAAGAGTTGATTAGGAATGAAGACCCATGGGGATCAGAGCTTGAAATCGGCTGCTGAGGTAGAAGTGCCCATTAAAATAGAAATAAACTGGAACGCCTGACCACAGCATGGTCTAACAAGAAATCATGTCACCATCTTGGTAGGTGCTACACGCCATCCTAATGGCAGCAGAATATAAACATCTGGGGGAAAAAAAAAGAAGTCAAAAAACATGTTTTGCCTTTTAATTGTCTGACTGCTTAAGCTTATTTTTTTACTTGTGTTCATTTCAGCTTCTCTCAATTTCAACTGTTTTGTGTCTCATTTAAGTTCAAGGTTCTTTATTGTCATTCACGTCACATGTGGTACAAAGTACATGAGGTGGAATGAAACTGTGTACACAGGGTCCTAGTTACATCCAAAAATACCAAAAATATAAAGTGTAAAAAGAAACTGTATATATAAGGATGTAAACTTTGCACTAAACAAATGCCAAACAATACGCTAAAAGATCAAAGATAAATGCTAAACATTAATAATGTAAAATAATACGGAATATTAAACAGCAGCCCGAACATGTGTGGTGAGTATGAATGAATAAATACCTTTCTGCTTATTAATTTATTTTTAAATTTCAGTTACTTTTTATTTAGTTAATATTATTTACTTAAGCTAATTTTAGCTTTTGTTTCTTCTGTTGTTTTTAGCTAATTTTAGCCTTTTGCATTTATGTCACTTTTTTCAACCGTTTCAGCAAACTTGTGAACTTTCCACCTCTTTTTGCTAATTGCAGCCTTTTTCTTTTATCATCATCATCATCAACTTTATTTATAAAGCTCTTTAACACCAGCCAGAGCTGAAACAACGTGCTGAACATCAGTAATTAAAAATAAAAGCAAGCATAGAAATAAAGTTAAACACACAATTAATTAAAAGCTCAATTCAAAACACTATAAAACAATGAGTTAAACAGCTTCTTTTCAGCTACTTCTGCAAATTTTAGCTATTTTCAAGGTTTTTATTTATTTATTTTATTTTGGCTCTTTTCACCATATTTCTTCTTTTTTTTTTTTTTTCAACTTTTCTGTTAATTTGAGCTTTTTATGTTCTGTTTCTCTGTGTTTTTTTTATTGTTTTTCTCATGTTTTTTTTTATGATGTTGCTGCTTTCAGCTTCTCTACCATTCAACTATTGTGTATCTTTAGCTCGTTCAGCAGTTTTTATCAAAATCATTCAGCAAGGAAGAATTCATTCTGCATGAAATGTGATTCTCTAGTCATTCTAATGATCAAAACACTCACTTTAAAGAATGTGTTGTTCTATTTTTATTTTAACTGTTTCGTTACATTTTACCTGAGGCACAGTCCGCTAACTGAACGCTGTGGTTCTGTTCTGATCCGAATCATGTGGTGGCATTTTGCTGCTGCTATTGCTTGTTGTGAAGCTCATTACAGCAAACTGTAAATCATACATGTTTTTACAGCACACATGATTATTATAAGACCTCAGCTAAGGTTTCTGGACTCAGCATTTCTGCATGGCTGAGTCCCACTGTCTGCTGAATCCAAACTCAAGCGCACCTCGTCTTCCTTAACGATGATTAGGTGATCATCTGAACCCAATCCTGGTTAACGAGGAGGATTATAAAAACCATCATTGACCTGGTGCAACAGGACCGGCTGGTGGTGATTTAAACAGAACTGGAATAAAAGATAACCATAAAAACATAATTTCCTGTGAAAATTCAGTGTGAATGTTTACTGCTGAATTATTTCAACTGAAAGGTGCTGGAGAGATTTCATCTCTAACTTAAAGAGCTGAATTTGAACAGCCGACGTTTGATGAAAGCAGCAAAATAAAAACTGAAAGCACAGAAAAATGGCAGAAAGGGACAGAATAACCTAAAATAGACAGAGAGAGGTTGAATAATTATAAAATGTCTGAAATTAGAGCTGAAAAAAGAAAAAAACAATGAACTGAAATTAGCAGAAAGAAGCTGAAAGGAGCATGAAAAGTTGAAATGAGCAAAAAAGGCTAAAATGTGCAGAAAAATATAAAGTAGCTTGAAAAAACTTAAATGTGCATTATTGTAAACAGCCCAAAGAGTTTTAAGGATGCAAGCTCCATTTATTTTCAATGATTAAAAACATGCCTGACAAAGCTAAATGTTAATAAAAGTTCAAAGTTCACGTAAACCAAAAGGAATGTCCTGAATGAGCTGAACGTTCTGAGACATGAGTTGTTTAAATAGAACAAAAAAATTGTAGAATAAGTTAGGAGCTGAAAAAAAGAACTGTTCTGAATGATGAAGGACTCAGAAACATTCAGACTTCAGGATCACAGAGTTCAGTTGTGGTTTGGGACTCTGTTAGTCTGAATACATATAACTTGAGGATACATCAGCAAGTGTGTTGAGGATGTCACCACCACTAGGACTGTGAAGTGCTACCCGAACCAGAAACCCTGGCTGAAAGCAGAGAATCATACCCTGCTTAAAGCCAGGGATACTGCCTGGTGGCTCACAGGAACTGGAAAGGACAAGGAAAGATCTGACTGCTGGTATTAAAAGGGCCAAAGCTACATTTGCCCAGAAGATCCAGGGAAATTTTTCCTCATAGGGCCCACAGAGCATGTGGAGGGACATTAAATGCATCAAAAGCAGGGGTGCACAATGCACTAGGGACCCATCACTGCTTGATGCCCTCAACAAGTTCTACACACACTTTGAAGACCCGAACAGACCACCCAGCACCAGACTCACCTCACCACCAGAAGAAAAGTTTCTCAGCGTGGCCTGAGCAGAAGTGAGGAGTACTTTCAGGAGGATTAATCTGCACGAAGCAACTGGTCCAGATAACATACCGGGGAAGCAAAAAAGTCCATGCTCAATAATCCAGGTATACCATCAATCAGTAACTGGTTTGTTTCACTTTGGAGTAAGCTGTTTGGGGGAAGAATCAGTTTTTTGTTGTGTGTTTCCTTGACTGATGAAGCCTTCTGGATGGAAGGTGAAACGTTTCAGCAAAAAAATAAACTGTCCAGATGAACTGACTGAAAATTGTTGGATCCCGGGGAAGGTGCTGAAGACTGTGCCGATCAGCTCTGCGAGGTGCTGGCAGACATATTTAACACCTCACTTACCCTGGCAAAAGTTCCCACCTGCCTGAAGACTGCAACCATCATCCCAGTCCCAAAGAGCTCTACAGTGACTGGTCTGAATGACTACCAGCCAGTAGCCCTCACCCCGATAGTCGCTTAATGCTTTAAAAAACTGGTCATGACCCACATCAAAACAACCATCCACATCAGTGAGGACCCTCAGCAGTACACATATCATCGATCAACAGAAGACCCACGTCCGTATGCTCTTTGTGGACTTCACGTCTGCTTTCAACACCTTGATCCCCCAAACCCTGATGGACAAACTACTCACACTAGGACTAAGCTGCACTGGGTTCTGGACTTCTTAACCAACAGACCGCAGTCTGTGAGGATCCACAACTTCTCCTCCTCCACCACAACCCTCAGCACTGGCTCCCCTCACGGCTGTGTGTTGAGCCCGCTTCTGTTCACGCTGCTCACATATGACTGTGCACCTACCCATCCGTCACATTGTAAAGTTTGCAGATGATACAGCGGTGGTTGGATGCATCACAAACAATGATAAGTCCAGCTACAGGCAGGAGGTGGAACACCTGGAGAGCTGGTGCAGGAAGAACAACCTTCACATCAACGTGAAGAAGACAAAGGAGATAATCATGGATTTCAGACAGAGCAAACACACCTACACCCCATACATCCATCTGCTCACCACAGACTCATGTTCATGCTGCTGTTGTTACGTCATATTGTTTTATATTATTAATATTTAGTTGTTTCTTTTTATACTTTATATTTTGACATTTTTGGATGTAACTGAGATCCTGAGTACATAATTTTGTTCCACTTCATGTACCACGTGTGATGGAAATGACGATAAAGTTGACTTGAACTTGAACTTGGTCTGAAAATAAATGCTCCAAACAACAAGAGGTTTAGTTGAAATCTCGAAGAAATGTCAGAAGATTAGAGAATATATAAAAAAATGTTCATTTTAACAAAACACCTGGAATAAATCCAGAAAGAAAAAGGTTAAAAACTTCCCGGCTCCAAAGTGCAACAGGCTGACAGTGGTTTGCTGAAGGACACTTCAGCAGAAGGAGCATGTGGTTAAATGTCCTCCATGTTGCTTTGAGGAGCAGGGCTCCTCAGCAGCTGACCGCACCCTCAACCCGGAGCTACCTGCTAAACTAGTACCTCCAAGTGTCAGAGGGAGGAGCGGGAGGGGCTGACGGCTCTGCTGCTGATGCTGATGCTGCCCCCCTCCTCCTCCTCCTCCTCCTCCTCAGTGCGGCGGAGGAGAGAAAGCATCTTTGTCTGCACAGAGAGAGGAGCTCCGGGCTTCCCTGCCTACTCCTCCATCGACAGCAGCACCTCCACATAAGGAGACCGTCCCCCATCCTCCCCCCTGGAGATAGTCAGACAGACAGACAGACAGTCAGACAGACAGACAGGCAGAGGACATCCATCTGACGCAGTCAGCTCCGCTCAAACTGGGACTTTTTCCTCGCGCTGCAGGAATATTCCGAGCCTTTCCGCGCGTCCATGTGTCGGCTGGCTGGATGATGCTCAGGTAAGCGGCCCGCACACCTCCCACACGCACAGACCCCCACACGGACGGTGCTGGGGGGACACACACATATTAATTAAACATGTATACAGGGATGGAGGTGAAGCGTTCAGCTGCAGGAATCCACAAAATAATCCTTGATGTGGATTTTTAATCTGTCTTTCTCTATTCTAGGAGGTGTGTGGGAAGGGGGGGGGGGGGGCTGTTCCGGTGAACATTTATTCAAAGGTGACTGGTTCAAACAGACGTTCTGTGGTTTTAGCTGCTGGATGAGGTGCCCTGATAGGGCAACATTCACCACATCACCCCCCCCCCCCCCCCCGCCCCCCCAGCCTAGGAGAAATATGGAAAATGCTCAAGCTTTTGTTTGGTTTCTGCCTCCTGGATGCGTATTTTACATGTTTTTTTAAAGCAGAAATTAAGTTTAGGTGGTGAGTCCTGCAGCAGGCAGAGCCCCTGTCTGTCTGTCTGTCGGTCTGTCTGCTAAAATGCTGGAGGTTGCCTATTTATTATTGAGAGGGTCTTCGTGTTGTGTGCCAGAGGAGCAGCCAGTTTAAAGATCAGGGAAAGGAAGGAGGAGAAAGGAGGGTGGTGGTGATGGGGGGGGGGTGGGCATCATGTTCAACAAAGACTGCCTTCATTTCATCCGTTAGACGGACGATTATTCATAAATCTACAAAGTTGTGAATCAGAAGCAAACGTCTGGGCGTGATGAGGAGTGAAGGTCTGATGGGAGCAGGTGAGGAGGTCTGACCACAGAGGAGGAGCTGGGGGCCAAATTACAGCTTGTAGCAGGTAATTTACAACCCTGTCTGCTCTGAATGGATTATTTTGAATAAACAGAGGGGAGTGTGTGTGGGGGGGGATTTATTCAATCATCATGTATTGTTTAGTGATTTGATGTAACGCATAATCTGGATGCTGCCTTTCATTCACTGGCGTGTTCATTTCTCTGTTATTTAGGAAAGTGAATGTGATCACAGCACCTCCATAATTACATTAATTTAGTATCAATCTGAGGGGAGGGGCCCCAAGGTTGTGCTGCTGCTCAGCTCAGGAGTGCTGCCGCCCTTCCTGCACCTCCATTTGCAAATTCCACTTTGACCGAAACCCGTTACATTTTCTCTCCCCCTGGAAAGAAACGGCAAAAAGCAAAGCTTGTTTTCATGTAAAATGTGAGGAATATGAACCACCACATCTGTTTACAGCTGTTTGCATCCCAGCTGCTCGCCTTATTTAAAATATGTTGAATTTCTTAGTGGGACACTTGACTTTCCAAATCAGGAGGTGGTTCTGTGGGATGAACTTTATGCAGATCTGGAGTTTAAATGACTGTGTTGTTGTTGTTGTTAGGATGATCTTTGCAGGATGAACTGTGCACTGCGTTGGCACAGTTTGCATCCAGACTCTCCTTAATCGTGTTACTATGATTCCTGCAGCTTAACAGCACAGTGTGTGTGCAGGTGCATCTCAGAGAATTACAACATCGGGAAAACGTTCAATATTGTTTTGTCAATCATTTCAGTGTGAAACTCATTATATATATATATATATATATATATATATATATATATATATATATATTCTTTCAGTATAGCCATAGTCTTCAAAATGACAAGAAATAAAGGCTTGAAATATTTCACTCTGTGTGTAATGAATCTATATAATAAACGCGTCACTTTCTGAAATGATTGACAGAAAATATTAACGATATTCTAATTTTTCGAGACACATCTGCGTGTTGTCATTAGCTCTCAGTTCTATTTTGACACTTTGTGTTGGAGCCACGGTTTGATCCTCATTGTTCAGCAGCTATTTTTGGGGCCCTGGGTGCCTTACTCGCCACACTCATGTTGCTATGATCTCACTCACAAGACATCTGCCTTCACTGCTGCTTGTGATCAAGTTTAAGGCTTCTGGAAGGCTTAGCAGAAAGGAAAAGGGCTTTACTGCTGTGACAGCAACAACAAATCTAACAGCGCGCACACGTTCTGATTTCCAAAATAATATTACAAATTACGGCTGCTAATAGTATTAAGTAGCGTGGAGCATTAGATTACATCCCATTTTCTTTATGTTTCAATTTATTTTAGGCTTTATCTCCTAAAGCGACACTTATTTTGTCTTCAGAATTAGTTTGATGGTTGAAGATGAAAGGGAAACGTTAGAATTAAGATGAATTAGGAAGTCTGAGACGAAACGCAAGGAGAGAAGGATGACATGAGCAAGGAGAGCGCTTCAAATAACAGGAGGGCAAAGTTGACATGGTGTGCATGTGTATGTGTGTGTGTGTGTGCGTCACAGCTCAATAGCTCTGGCGTGCGCTGTGGGGAAGTGGAAGGTTACAGATATTGTGTGGCATTGCGAAACGTGTCGCTTCCTCTCTATCATACCCCATCAAGGTCACAGCGGCGGACTGAACGTGGTGGCCCCGGCCTTTTCCACTTCTGGCTCCGGCAGAGGAAATGGGGCCCGCGGACCACTGTTGCTTCTAATCAGGGCTGACGCGTGACTCAGTTGCATGCCAGCTGCGGAGCCAAACAGGGATTATGTCCCTGGATGATGAAGACAGAAAAACAAAGGTCGCTGTTGAGATCTGTGTGTCTCCGCACCTTTGGGGGCGTTTGGCTTGTTCATTTATATGTGGATTACTTTTAATGAACTTTTGCTGAAATGACTGAAACAAAACAGAACAGATGAAGTGTTGAAGCCTGCGGCTGTGTGCTGAAGTCGGAGCTGTGGCGCCAGCAGCAGAGCGTTGGTTAATCTGGGTCATTGTGCCAGTTGCTTCAAAGCATGTGAAACTTCATGAAGCACAGGCAGAAGTCACAGGGGACTCACCAGTCTGCTCCTTTGGTCAGGAAAATGGTTTGCTCTGTTTAAGAGTTACTGGTTTCCACTTACTGTATCTTAGTGGTGGTCAATTTCCTGATTCTGGTAGAAAAAAGTACCAGACAAAATGAGCATTGCAAATGGGATTCCACAAGACTGTATTCTTGGACTCCTTCTGTTTGAAATTCGTGTGCTCCTCTTTATGTCATTCATTAACCACATGATGAAACACGGTGGTTCAGACAGTTTCTGCAAGCATCCCCAACTTCGTAACTGATTTAATCCAAAATCAGTATCCAGTTCTTTGTTGATGGTTATTATTGGTTTTTAAAGAATGACGTAAAGCTGGGGGAAAAAAAATACTTTTGGTAGTGTGTAAAAAGTGCCTTTACTTTTTGATGAAGGGATCTCCTGCACAAGTTGGCCTTAATATGTTATGTCTCTATGCTATACAATGTTGCTGTTTGTGACACCAGAACAATGCATTCTGGGACAATGGCATACATCGGTTCAAGTGAAGATTAAAATATAAGGAGTCAAAACTAAAAAGTTAAATGTGACAAAGTTATATTTTGTATTAGTCCTTATACACAATATATGGGTCGTAATGATCCATTGACCAACTTGTTGGTCAACTTTAATTTAATAGCCCTGGAGCTAATGCCATATTATTTTGGCACGCCGAAGCCTACATTGAGTGGGCGTTTCCCTCATCCTACTTCAAAACAAACTTTTCTTCAAAGAGGATAGTTGGACTGAAAGCTTGATCAACTAGTTGTTGTTTTTTATTATGGGGTTTGTGAGACTTCATGTGTTGTTATTGATATGTTGTGGCATGAAGCATTGGGGGGTTTGTGGGGCATAACTGATGGCTTGATTAAATTGTGTTAACTGCCTTAAATGTTATCCTTCGTGGCCATTCAATTATTAGTTTATTTTTTAGAGCTTTTTGCCTGTGCAGGTAAATTATTTTCTGTTTACTGTAGTTGATTATTCCTACACCTCAACCAATATAAGTTTTTTGCGCTGTCAGCTCCAGGCACTGTCCATGACTTAATTAGTGTTTTATGTAATTAATCCCCCTTTTGACTTTAATTTTGGGGGAAGGTTGTTACAGATGGAGGGCAGCACGGTGGCGCAACTGGTAGAGCTGCTGCCTCTCAGCGAGAAGGTTGCCGTTTCAAATCCTGGTCTGGGGGTCCTTCCTGGGTGGAGGTTGCATGTTCTCTCTGTGCTTGCATGGGTTTTCTCCAGGTACTCCGGTTTCCTCCCACAGACCAAAAACATGCATGTTAGACTGATTGATAACTCTAAATTGTCCCTGGGTGTGAGTGAGAGAGTGAATGGTTGTTTGTCTCGTTTGTCTCTATGTGGCCCTGTGATGGACTTGCGACCTGTCCAGGAGTGTATCCCGCCCCTCACGCAGTGATTGCTGGACATGGGCACCTGCGACCCCCGTGACCCAAAATGGAAGAAGCGGGTGGATGGATGGATGTTACAGATGGACAACCGGATCATCCGCTGACCATTAATAACTATAATAATTATAGAATTATAATAACTCTAATAATCCGTTGACTCTTGTTAATAAACAACAAATATATCTTTCTTTCTTTGAAACATGCTTTTAAAACTATCATGTCAAACTGATTTGCTTACAAAAGCAGTAAAAGCTTTATTTTAAAAATTTGGTTGTTTGTTTGTTTGTTGGGGGTGGGGTGGGGGTTGGGCCTCTAATTACAATTACTTGATCGGTTTTGGGTTGGGCTTGGAAAAAATGATATGGGTTCAGACTGGGCCGAGTCAGATTTTTTTTAGGTTCGAATGCAGCTCTAATCTGTGGGGGTTAGAGCTGTCATTTCTAGCCCGGGCCCGAAGCCCGGTCCCGCCCAACCCGAATTTGAGCTGGGCCGGGCCATAATATTGTGCTGGATGGGCGGGCCGGGTCAGTGTCGAGCTTTGATTGAGTCAGCGGATGCATGTGGCTGACAATCCAAATAATATGGCAACATGGCTTGCCAAACAATCACCAGCTGCACGAGGCCATTTGACCGCGCGCTGACCGGCCTTGAAAGAGGTAAAAAAAAAAAACGTTCAGTTAAGCCTCAGATGGGACTCCTGCCAGGCAGCAATCCATCAAAACCCAAATGGACGTTCAGCCGCTGCACTCA